AAATGATTTCCGGAAAAATAAATTTAGGGGGTCTTCCCAGTGTGACATTTAAAAAAGTATGTTTTTGTGAACCTTTATGCGAAAACTGTACAGTGTGTCTAAGAGAAAAAAAGTTGGTGATTTAAAAATTTGTATAATAATAAAAAAAAAAAAATTAAAATTTGTCTACCAGTTTGTCATAATGAAACTATCAAAAACTAACTCATCATTTTCTAAATTAGTTTAATTTTTAAATTTCAAGTCGACCATTTTGAAAATAATAGCTAAAAATTATTTATTATAATTTAAGTGTTATTTTCAGTATTTGATGACCAAAACAAACAGTATAATGCCCTGGTGCATTTAAATTTAGATTAAAAATTTTTTTAAATATATAATTTTGAAATATACAAAAAAGTTCATTTTTTTCTGAGTGTTGCACTACAATGCCTCCTTAATAATTGGATGAAAAAATATATTCAAATTGTGAGAAAAATTTTATTTTTCAGTTTTGTTAGGTCTTTACTAAATTATTTTATTTAAATGTCACAAATTATTGGTTATCAAATGTTAAATGATGTTTGAAATAATTAACAATCGCCAAACAAAAGAAAATCTATAAAAATCAACATTAAAAAAATTTAACTTATAATTTTAAAAAATTCAATGAATGTAAAATTTATAAAAAGTGTAATATATATTAAAAACATACTATAAATGATTCTAAACTACAATTATAAGTTCAGAATAAATGTTCTAAACTTTGAAAAGTTTAGAACAATGGTTCTAAACTTCAAAATGGGGTTTAGGATTATTTCTTTATGAATGTACTTAATTATGAGCTTTTATATTGTATACTATTGTAAATTATGTATGATACACATCAGTCTTTCAAACGTGTAAACAAATCTGAATCAAAAAATTTCATCATAAATTGAGAGATATTAATTAAAAATATGATTCATACAGTTGGTTGCTAGTTAGAAATATATTTTAGAATGTAGCTGTTGGATCGATCATATGCTTTTAATCATAGTTTGTATACATGTTTTATATAAAATGCATTTAGAGCTTTTTACCATTTTGAATAACATTTTATGAAAGACATAACAAAGAATTCAAAATGGATTAATAATAAATTTACAGAATTTTAAATATAATGTAATTTGTCAACAGAAATAAAGCCTTTTTTTAAAAAATAATACTGAATAAATGCGATAATTAACAGAGAATTCAACATTTAAAAAACTATAAATGAACTATTGAAAACAATAATTAGTTACCAAAAGTTATTTCTAGCATTTTCAACTATTTGAAAAGTAAAAAGTTCAGATGATTGAGATCATTGGACTTCTTTTGATTAACGCTAGTGGCTTGGAAAATGAAAACTTCTCTTGCTTCAAAGTTGAAACTGTAGAAAGATTGGCATATTTTGTGTACCCAAAACAAGATGCTCCTTATCAGGTCAAAAATAAGTAAAGGATAAAAGAAAGACACAGTTGTCAATGAAAAAATATGGAAATAACCAGGAAAAATAAATAAGGAAAATAATCAGAGTAACTGCAGAACCCTAAGAAGGCAAGTTGGAGCAGAATGTATTTCAACTTGTAGAACTGGGTCTGGGGCAAAACTGGGATAATTTATACGAGAATCACTGTCGATATGAATGAAGTCAAGTTTATAAAAATGAGCAAATGTGTCAGAATAGAAAGAATGTTTGCATATCTTTCTTTCAATTTTAGTTTATTTTGTAAAAAAAAAAATCTTATTCTTTTCTCTTCAAATTATCACATAAAAAAAAAACATTGAATTAGTTGTCGGAAATACTTTAAGAAAGAAATTGATATTGAAATGATTTTACCACATACTTTCCACCACTTTTGAATTTAAATAGTATTGCAACACATGAGTTAACAATTTTAGCCAATATTAAAATGCAAATTACAACCGTGATTCAAACAGAGTTTAATTTTAAAAAAATTAATAATAAATAATATAAATTTGTATGCAAAATTTTGAATTTTGTTATGCCTTGACAAATAATGATGACTATACCTGTGTATGCTATTTGCTTATAGCAATGATTTCTGATAATTTTTATACACTTTTTGTATCATGGCAGAATATGCTTGTAATTAAACACTGCATTTCTTTTTATTTAAATCACTGGTGTTATAAGTAGTCACTGTGTCGTAAAAAGATCAATTATGTAAAAAAAATAAAATTAGTTTTAAATGAAATTAGTCCTTCTTTATTTAAAAATCTCACTAATTTCAACATTAAAAAACTGCCAAACCAACCCAAACATTTTGACATTCTATTGCAAAGAGATTTTCAACTACAACTTACAGATAGATTTGAAAATTTGTAGAACTGATTATATGAAACAATTAAAAACAAACAAACTCAAATCTGTGTGTTTAAGTGCAAGGCTGCCAACTAAGTTTGTAAACTATTTTATAGACAACTAAAAACTAGGCTTTTTAGATATTGGATGATTTTGCTAACATTTTAAAAGCCTCACTAGGAGAGATAATAAAAAAGTAACATTGGGGCCGGGATAGCCTGGTTGGTAGGGCACTGGGCCTACGTCCAAGAACTCGTGGGCTCGATCCCAGGCCGGTCGAGGACTCCCCGTGTAGTAAATGGTGACTGATTCATGTTAAATCTGTCGAGTCGCAAAGTCCTCCATGTTCCCGTAATAAATCAATACCTCTGGGGGTACTGATCCCGGAATTTCCTTGTCTTCTAGATTGGTTCAAAATTACAAGGCTACGGAGTTCAACATTAGTAGTCATAAACCCAAAATTGGGTCGGATGTTCAACGACAGATATAATATAAAATAAAATAAAAATCATTTACGTGTAGTGGTTAGAAAATATCATTAAATTAACTTTGCAAGACAAAGAATCACGCATAAACTAAACTTAACTACCTCTAGAAGCAGTTTTTCAAAAAAGCGAAGAAAGTTAGCAGCCCTGTAAGCATATGTTCAGAACAATAATTCATTCTGAAGATTTTAATTTAGTTGTTCACTTTAATTTGGTTATAAGTGTAAATTATTAATCAATTCCACGAAGTCTTTAATAAAAAGATAGCTTTTCAAGGGAAAAGATGTTTTTTAATATTTGTAGACCTCAGGTGTAAACGGTAGCAAAATTCTATGAATTTACAGCCCGACACATTTATATTTTCAAAAAATTAACATATGATCATAAAATTCAAATAGGGAAACTTACTGCTAAGCCCTTGTTGTTTAGCTATTTTGAATCATTTTTTGAGCAGAAAGAAAATCTTGTTTGATGTCAGTATTTACAGTACAGAAAGTTAATTTTTTTAAAGATGCAGTTAGCACTCTTTATCACGAAATTTTACTTTCCAATGGATCTCAAAACTAATTTTATCAAAATCTCAATATAGTTAGCTAATATTTATAAAGATACTAAACTCTTAAAAGAAGGAGACAATCAAATAGCGATTTGCAATGATAGTATAAAAAATGGGAATATGTAATCAGGGAATTGTTTGTTAAATCAATCCAGCTGCCTAATTAACTTGATAGACATTTTGTCATAAGACAAACAATAAAAAATAAGTATTTAATCAATTAAAAGACTTCAAGCTAACTAATCAGATTAAAAAATTATAGGCATCCATGGACAAGGAAATTATGCAACTTATACCAAGTATTAGACCAAGATGACTAAAAAAGACGAGTGTGTTTTTGACACGGGCTGGTATGGCAGCTGGACTTACATAACATTTCAATACTGTATAAGATAACATTATTTTGAGAACTACACAAAAAAAATATTAAAGTCTAATAGTCATCAGCCTGAATAAAAGAAATTTGCTTTTCCATTTCCTATAACCAATACATAGTTATTGCAATCAACAAGTCCTCCACAGAAGAAAGATTCTTTTTAGATACTGATACACAGCTAAGGAGTACCCTTAACTTTTCAAATAGGTTCAAATATATGAAGCTTCTCTGTGAATGTTAGAATGCTGTAAGCTGACTGCATTAATGTGGCGATCAAAAACAAGACAAGGCAAGATATTACAGCAGGTAGAAATCCACTATGGTTGGTGACAACAAACTGAGTATTAAATCCATGACAAAAACTGAAAAACTATCCAACTACTCAGAGACGTAACCAAAAATATTTTTATTATAATAAAAACTATTTCTGAGGTAAAAGAAAAAAAAATGCCTTCATAAATAAATAAAACAAATAAATTATTAGCTGATAACTATAAGCAATTACTGAAAGACCAAGACACTAGCAAACTACAAAACGAGCAATCTTAAACTGTCATTGAATAAAAACGAGAAGTGAAAAGTATGTGTTACAGTTTAAAAAAAATGAAAAATGAATCAAGCGATTGTGTTGTGAATGAAATATTTCACTACATTTTTAAAGCTCTGACATCAAACTCTTATATTTTCTTTCACTTAAGATGAAACAATTTTTTATATTTGTTTTCACTGCAGGTATAGTTTGTATATAATATTGGTTTAATTTAAACTAACATTTCATGAATATATCTATATGCAACAAAAACAAAATTGCAATAAAGAAAAACAATGTATTTAATTCATTGGAATCATAACTTTCTATTATGAACTATCATAAAAAGAAATTTTTTTTGGTAAAAATATGTGACGATGTTCGGTAAATATTTAGGAAAACAATAAAAAAAAATTTCACAAAGAAACATTGCATAAAGTAGAAATAAGAAATTGTTGCATTTGTTATTGCAAATTTAAAACCTACAAATAGAATTGAGCACATTAATAAATCTGATTAAAAGTAAGCTTCATTTAAAAACACAAATATCAGTGACATGTTTCAAGTAAGCAAACATGTTTAATGAAAAAAAAAAGAAAAAAAGAAAGAATTAAATCATATTAAAACAGGTAAAAATAAAACATTTTATTTACAGACTAATTTAACTGTAATTTTTTAGAAGTATCATGTTCACTATTTAAGACAATACTATAAATAAAACACAACAGTCGAAGACAATAATTTATTAACAATATATCTATTATTCTTTTAAAAGATATTTACAAGTAACATCGATTTCAGATCAAAATCAGAATTATCTATAAAAATCTTGAATACTTGAGAAAATATTCTTTTAAAAAAATTCTTAATTTTGGTATAAATACAGGTTTGTTTACAGCTCTCATGATAATATTAAGAAAAATATTTTTGCCAATGGAAATAACACTACAATCACAGATAAAAATAAATTTTTCTTCACTATTTTCAACACATTTTTCTAAAATTTGGTTTGAGATTTGCTGTTCAGTGCCAACAAAAATCTGTTTACTTTCAATATCATCCTGATAAAAATAATTACTTCTACCCCGCCAAGTTTCTAAAACAGTAACATACATACTGTGACTAAATAAAATATTTGTTACATTATCAGTAGTTGAAGTTTTATCAACTTTCTCGAAAGTTCGAAGCTTACCGTACTTTTTATTATAAGCTATTGTTTTATTGATTACAGCAGTTTTGTCAATCTGAAACTTGATGGTTTTTGAATCAACAGGATGGCACTCAAAAAGCAAGCAATCTTGAAGAAAGCAGAAAACATTATCACAGATTTGTATCCAGTTCTCTGATATTTCATCTGTTTTATCCAACTGAATTTTCATTTCTACTGTCTCCTTTCTTGCAAATGAGTAATTTGCAGAAGAGCGATCCAACATGGCAAGAAGTCCCCAGTTCTGATTGGTTATTGGTTGATCTGAACTTTCATGATAAGCTTCACAAGCAGAAAGCAGAGATTTAATGAGGGATTTGCTGTGTTTCCAATCGACGCCAGTTGTCACATTCCAACTAAGGTTAAATGGATCTTGAACATTAATTGTATTCAGCTGCAAAAATAAAGCTATCATGTCTTTATGCTATGTATAACAGCTGCTTCAAGATAAGAAGCTGTCAAAAATAAGAAAATCATTCTGCTATTGAAAAAGAAAAAAAATTCTTTTGCTATGTTCAATTTATTTCCCCCATGTGAAAACTGCTAATATTTAGAGATAACATGTTTTGTATGAAAATGTTCTGTTTCACAAATTTTAATAACTGAATAAAGTTTTAGCAATTAAAGAAACAAACATGAAAAAAGACTGAATATTTTCACATTTTGAATCTTTCTGGCTTTTTGGAAATTGTTTTAAACTCTCCAATTTTGCAGTTTCATTGAACTCAAAGCATTAAATAATTTCATTTTCTAGCATGTTATTTTCCTCTCCATAAACTTTAAAAGGTCAGGACAGTTTATTTTCAGAAGAACTGAAGAAATGTGAATAAGTCAACTTTAAAACACCCTTGCTTTAACGAACAGTAGGAAGAGAGTTAAATAGTTTCTTATTCATTAATTCAACAGCTCTTGATCTTTTTGCTTATGATTGGTGCAACAAGTAGAGAAGAATAGCAGGCTTTGGCATGCTAAGCCTCATATTCAAAAAATTAACTGTAAGCAATTTAAAACATGTTAAGTGTGAATGTAATAAGCTGGATAAATGTGCAATAAGCTTGAATTTAAACAATATTTATAAACAAAGACATGAACTTTTATAAATAAGACATGAAAAAGAATTATTAACAAAGACTGTTATAAATTTCAACTTATAATAAAATAAAATAAAGAATAATAAAATAAAGAACAAAACAGCAATGCCGTATAATTTTATATCATAAATGACAACAAACTGCTGCATTACAAAGCTTTATAGAAGATGCTAAGAAGACAACAGACTTCTTGAGTCCAGTATCATGGAACACTTGCAGCCATACGAGACTTACAAAGAAGTAACATTCATCTATAGTAGCATGCCATGGATGGTAAAGGAACTCAAAACTATGATCTCCATATTTTACTTATTTAACTCACGATTTGTATCTCAGTCATTAGAGATATCTAACGATTGAGAACAGTATATATACTTAGTATCTATATTCAAAATTTTCAAATGAGCTCAAACTATAATTGATATAACATATAATCAGGATCTGAATTTTACTAAGAAGACATAAAAAAAAATCCTTCTTAATAAAATATAGAGAAAAACTTGTCTTTGTGGAAGACTTTTTGCAGGAAACTAACTTTTTGGATATGGATAGCTAAATGACACAAATCTCTCTCAGTTTATCTGATGAACATCTAACTTCTTTTATCACTGGTCTCGGACAATAAGTTTAAATCAGATTTGCAGTTATCAAAGCAGCCAAATCAAAGCTTCAATTCAGCAACCTTGAATTTTGAACCCAACTCAGAAGTCAAGGGAACTCCTGGATAAATCTCTCAACTTAGTGATGGACTTTGAATAAATCCACATTAGCATTACAAAAAAATGAAGATGAAAATCACAAAAACTCGCATTCTAACAGCCCCACAGCAAAGAGACTCTAATTTAGGATATGTCTGCTAATGGAGAGATATATGAATTTACCAGCCATTGCAGGATTGCACCATTTACCAGGATTTAAACCTGGGGTATCTCATAGAAAGGTAAGCAAGTTAAACCCAGAGCTGTCCAGACTCAAATTTAACTTACTATTTATATTATTTTTAACACTGTTTCAAGAAAAACAGAAGTTTATGTAACATAAGGTGGGGGTGGGAAGATGCCAAGAGGAAATTTGTCTGAGCAGGGTGAAAGTGGGACAAAACATTAGACACCACAGGAGACTAACAAGGGAAACTAGGGAAGTGTGACTCGCCAATTTTGAAATAAACTTGTGGGATGTATGCCTTATGAGGAATAATTTTAGGGGGAAACATTCGTTTCGGCCCATAGAAGGTCTTGTGATGGATAAAAAATAATTCAATATATAGAAAAATCGGTATTTTATTACTTCAATGAAGACTATTAGTTATTGTAATTGTCTCATACTCCAATTAATTTGTAATTAATTGGATAATTAATTAATTTTCTAATTAATAAATTAATTAACATTCGTTTCGGCCCATAGAAGGTCCTGTGAGAGATAAAAAATAATTCAATATATAGAAAAATCGGTATTTTATTACTTCAATGCAGACTATTAGTTATTGTAATTGTCTCATACTCCAATTAATTTTGTGGTACTTTCACGTACTATATAATGCATATTTATTGTCAAAATTGATTTCGAAAATTTTATATATCTGTAGTTTTTCAGAAAAACCTGTTAGGTTAATTTAAAAAAAAAAATTGACATCAAATTTTTTAAATTTTTTTTCCCAAAAACTTTCCAAATTAATCGGAGTATGTAATTGCAAATCAATTAATTAATTAATAATTAATTAACAATTAATTAATAATTAATCAACAATTAACCAACAATTAATTAATAATTAATAAATTTTTTGATTAATTTATTAATTAGCAAATTAATTCCAAATTAATTGGATTATGAGACAATTACAATAACTAATAGTCTGCATTGAAGTAATAAAATACCGATTTTTCTATATATTGAATTATTTTTTATCTCTCACAGGACCTTCTATGGGCCGAAACGAATGTTGTTCCCTAAAATTATTCCTCATAAGGCATACATCCCACCAGTTTAGTTCAAAATTGGCGAGTCACACTTCCCTAGTTTCCCTTGTAAGTTGAAAATAAGATAGGGTTTAGCAACCTGAGTCAGGATTTGAACCCATATAAGAAGTAGGTATTTAAATATCAAGTGATTCCTAATATGTTAATTATTTTTAATTTTAAGCTGACTACGATCAAAACGGAAGAAAATTAAAAATGAATAAAAAATGGATTATATTAAAAAAAAAAGCCTTATAGAGAGATAAATAGAAAAGAAGCAAATAATTAAGACTTACTTCAAATGTAGGCTCTTTTATGATGAAGGATTTTCCATCCCATACATTTCTATCTAAGGTACAGATAACAGATGTAAAATCAAAATTTGCATAGAAGAAGAAAAATTCTCGCAACAACATTTCTAAAAGAAAATACAAAGTGTCTTATGAGAATTAACACAAAAATGAACAGTTTCAATTAAAAGTATTAGAAAAGAAAACCTGCACAAACCTTATAAAATTTGGCTTTTGATCAAATAGCCTAAAATGTTGATATGGCTCAGTTAATTCATTTGACACAGCTACTTTGAAATCTTACTTGTGTATAGCAAGCAAAGCTAATTTTTTAAGCGTACATAGTCATATTTATCCTATTTCTTTGAAAAACAAATTTTAATGAAAAGCATTAAAATAGGAAAAATTAGTTAAATATCTAAGACACATTACTTTTTAAATGGTTCATTAGAAACTATTTAAAAAGAAATTTGATAAATAGACTATTTATGTATGAATAACAGGCTCTGCTTGCTATGCATTAAATGGTAATTTTATATGGCAATACCTTAAAAACTGCCCATTTTTGAGTTCTGTGTCCATGAAGTCTCTTGATCAGCATTCAATAAACAGCAGCATATTTCAGACAGTTCGGACGAAAAAGCAAATTTCCAGAAGGTTTGTGCGTGACTCTTTTACAGTAAAGTCCAACAAGTGACACATGCAAATAAATTAATATTCTAAACAAAAGATATTTTGTAAAGACGGAATGCTGACAGAAATAACTTTGTGCTGCAGCGATTCAAACTCGCAGATATATTAGATTTCAGCAGCCACCGAAAAAAGCTTTGACACAATAGTTCCCTAAAGTGCAGATTGCCAAGATCCACAAATTCCACTTTCCAAGGTTTGTAAACCATTTCAAATACATGGGGAACTTGAACAACTTACAGAAGATGTGCAAATTTTTCTCCAGTATTTAAGGGTAAGCAATCTCAAGGGCTTCTTAACAGCTTAGATGGCCTTTTTCTTCTACCCAACTGGCGCAAATTTTTTTCACTCCAACTAATATGCTATGTTGTGCTCAGCAGCTGCCTTATACACAAGTTGTACTTTTTTGTTTATTTAATGATTTTAGATTTATGAATATACTTAAGATTTTGAAAATAATTTATCTTTTATGAGTCCTCATGATTAGCAGAAGTGTAGTTGCATTATTGAAACCTATACTTCTTACACCAAGAAAATAGTTTTAAAAAAAACTTAAATTGTATAATAGATTATAATGTTCGATAATCCGACAAGTGACATGGAATCGCTAATGACAAAACACATTTACTTCATAAAATGCTTCATTAAAATATTTAAAGTTATTTAAACTATATTAAAAACAAGGGAAATAAATAAAATTAAATTTCTAAATATTCTGAGATGGAAAATGGTGAGAATGTAATAGCATTTTCATTCATAATGTGGTTTAAATTTAAATTCCACTAAGTATATTCTAAAAATTTTCTACTTTAAAATATTCCAAATAAATATGATAAAAAAACATGAATAAAAAACAATACCTAAATTTTCTGAGTTTGAAGAAGGCGAGAAAACTTCAGAAGTGTCTTTTCCTTCAGAAAACAAATATTTGTCTTCATTTAAATCTGTGGAAAAAAAATTATTTTAAACACAAGTTTTAAATTATGTCTACTGTTATTTGACTAATCAAATTAATAAATGGTTTATGAATAGTAATATCAATTTTTAACATTTATTAAACGTTATAAAGACATAAATTCTTTACCTATAATTTTTGCTATTGATTATCACATTTAAAAAGTACGGTCAACTCCTTATTTTATATAAATTCATAGGTGCCAAGTAGATCCAGTAGATTTTACAAAATAACATAAATTTCATGATAATTGCTGCATAATGTACTAAATATTTTACACATGGGAAACTTTATAGTCAGCAAAATAGAAAAATTGCAATATTTTCCACTTATGATTGACATTAAACATACTCAAATATTAATATGCATTTAATTCATCAAAGATAGTTAAAAGATTTTTTAAAATTAATTTAAGAAGAGAGTTTTGAATAAAAATAAACACTGTATATTTTAGAACAATAAAAGTTCTAAACTGATTTCTATAAATGAGGTTTGCTTCATTATGTATTAGAAATACTTATTTAAATATACAAGCAAGGAAGCAATAATCTGTACAAAAATTCTACTCAAAGAGTGATTCTTTTTAGGAAACTTACTCAATTTTAGGGAATTATCTAAAATGTACAAAAACCAGGAGCATTTTAATTAAACTAGTAGACCAGGAGAAATTGGTAAAATCCAGTAGTCTATTGGAAAATCAAATAGAGTTGGCAGCTATGTACATTGCAATCATAATCTGTATTGGTTTGATCAAATTTTTGTAGCAATGTTACGGTGACAATCTGATATGTTTGGAGTACTAACTAACTAAATAATAATCCCTCATACAAAAAACATGTTGAACAAAATTGATTCTCAAAAAAATATGATCAATATGTTGAACAAAATTGATTTCAATAATATCAAAATGAAAACACTGTGAATATGCCAATGAATTCTGTGAACGATCTCTCAACTCATCATTTAAAAATTCTATATGATTATTGTCGTAATGATAGGAATAAATAATATTTAAAATCACATGAAAGAGATAAATCAATAATTGCGTAACTGCAAAAGTCTATCATACTGCATTTGCTTAAAATAATAAATAAGCATATCACCCCTGAATTCCTTAACCATAAAAATTATAATTGAATATCTTTTTCACACAATGACTTAATTACCAAAAAAATTTAAATAATGAATCGTGTGGGTGAGGCAATATGCATAAACCTCATACATGATTTGTGAATGGTTTTAGTGGAGGGTCAGAGCTGTCGAAAAAGGCATGTTTATTCAGGGAAAGTACGTTTTATGTATGATTTCATAACTTAAAATATCATCGGTTCTTATTAATTATTGGCATATTTGAGGTCACTCTCTCAAACTGTTCAAATTGAGTTGATATAAAGGTCCAACCATTAGATCAAAAGTTATTCTAAGTAAAACAATTTTTTTTGTGCACTGTACTTACAAGTGATATTTTAAATAAAACAATACTACTAAATCACAAAGAAAAAATAGTATATGAGCAACCATTTTCACTAAATAACTTGCTTTTCGAAAACTACAAAACAAAAGATGTTTTAGAGATTTTCTTGAAAAAATAAAATAAAAAGTGAAACAAAGTTTTGATTGCAATATTATAATGAATGGTTTAGTTTGTGTGTTCTAATGGATACCAAAATAATATTGAATCTATGAAATAGAAAACAGGACATCGTGTATCAGTTGTTATAATGGAAGAGTCATTGTAACGAAAAATTTTACTTAAGATCTTGAAGAGTATATCTATAATAAAACGACTTTCTACTTTTGCAAATTAAAAAATAAAATCTTTGGAGAAAACTAATAAAAATTTGTGAAAATTTCAATTTTGAAGGAAGAGTTAAGCAGGAGCAATGACCAAATGTCTATCTATCTATCTATTTATATCTATATCTATATATAAACAAACTAGTTTTATTGATGAAATTTTTTTAAAGCTTCAGCAGATTTGGATTGATGGGCCAAAAAAAAAAAAAAAATTTGGGTGAATGTCTAACAGATTTGGTCTTAGATTAGGTCACTTCAATCATTTATTTTTCACATATATGTAGAATTCGTAGATAGATATGTTGGAAAAAAAAGAGTATTACAAATTCTAATGACTTTTTTTTTGACAAAACAGTTTATTTATTTGCAAAGGGCAAAACTAATAAATTTTTCTACTGATCAGTGTCGATTTTTTCGAAAATTACAACTTTAAAAACTATACTAAAAAACTATTAATATCATTAGCTTAAAGTATTTATTTTAAAAAAATTTTTAAAATATGGTAAACACTACAGTGTTTATTCCTAAAACAAAGAAAAAGCAGTCCTGATCTTCCCAAATAGGTTTATGAAAAATATACGTAGTACATAACATTTTCAACTAATAAAATTTAAGGTTCGAATTTTGAACCAATAATGCAACATAAAATTTATGTATATAAACAAACAACAAACTTATTCCTTATAAAATAAATCTGAAATCATCATGATAAAATTATAATAATTAGATTATTTTTAAATATTAACGGCCAAAAATGAATTTTTATTTATTTTTAGAATTGGTATGAAACATTTTATGAAGACCGGTCCCTCTGAAATTTTGAGTCAGAGTATAATAACCTGTATGTTCTGAAGACAGTAACAACTTTCCTGTATAATAAACAAAAACTTGAAAGCATACATTTTAAAAAATGATACATGGGATCAGTGGCGTACGCAAGGGAGGGGTTTAGGGGTTTAAACACCCCCCTTGAGCTCAGACAAAATGGCAAAAATAGAAATTTTATTAGAAATTATGCGAGCTATTATTTTTAAAGACAATATATTTTTATCTGCCTTATGCCTACTTTTTTTTCTCACGGTATTTCTCTGTACTTTTGAAACCAAATTCACGTGATACTGTTACGGAGTGGTTCCTTTCTGTCCGGCCAGTATAGTTTTCGAGACTGGCTGTCATTCGCGAGATCTTTACGCGATGATTCTGTAATCCTAGACGTGCTGTCATCTTTGAGACAATTCGAGAATTTTGGAGATGCGGTGAAAAATTATATAAAAGGGGGAACGGAGTACAGTTGATGATGTAATATCAAATAATTAGGGGCCCCCTTAAAATGGATTTTTTTGAAAATAAATTTTAAAAAATTAAGAAAAACAATGATTGTTTTTAAAAAAATCAATTTTAAATATATATTAAAATTTTTTCAAAATGTTATGATTAAAATTTAGTTCTAATTTAACAAAATAAAGTAAAATTCAATTTATTATTATTTATTTTAATTTTAAACATGCTTTCTGAAATGAAAAGATATATAAATACTTTTATATTTGAATAAATGAAAAATATACGAGAAAAACAACTTAATCGAAGGACCCCAAAAATTTGAATGGCCTAGGTCCCCGCGTAAGCGCCGGCCCTGAGAATAGCATTTATTTCTGTGCCAGTATATATATTTACTGTTCTTGGATCTTTAGGATGTCAAAACGTAAGAATTTAACAATTTTTAATTATTTTGAGAAAAAATCACGACCTGAAATTAGTGAGGTGACAGCATCTAGTATCAATGTAAGTTTTTCTGTTGTACAGATATGTGATACTTTCGTTGAAGAAAACGTTTCTAGCATAACAAGATCTGATGAATGTGAAAGTGGCCCTCAAAGTGTTACTTCCCACCCATATGACATTGGACTTTTTTCAGAAGATATTACATCATGCTCTTAAACTTAAAAAATCAAATCAAAATTTAACCAAACAATGTTGTCTAAATAAAAAGTCAAAATTGTCTAGCTGTCTAAATTAGGGAAATAATAGTGCTTTATTACAGACTCGAATTTCTTTCAGTAGTTTCAGAAAATTATGAACACCCCCCATGAAAAAATTCTGCGTACGCCACCGCATGGGATACATTCTCATAAAAAAAAGTTGTGATCAGGTGGTGACCAACAAACAAGTATCTAATAGCCATTTTTCATATTTAGTTGCCTTGTGGGGGGTGGTGACCATTACTTCTGCCCCATATTCATTTGTAACAGGGAGTCAGCAGCTAATCTTTAACTTCTTCCTGACCATGACAGGGTTGCCATTAAAATCTGGAGAAAAAAATTCAATGTGTTTTCCTTGTACGTATTATGCACAATATATTATGAGGAAACACAATTACTGCATTCTTGTGGGAGCTATATTGGGCTACCTATACTAGTCTTAATTGCTGGATAAAAAAGGGAACAGCTGAAGATACTTAAATAAAGCTATAGTAAATGAAATAGCTTAGTATAGTTGGAATATCATCCTTAAATATCTCATAGATTACACAATGAGTAGTCACCATTTTTTAAAAGACGAAAATAAGTAACAGAATTCCCTGCATTTTCCCCAGTTTGTAAAGAAAAAATTAAAACTCCCTGCATTTCTCTGTTACTTCAGGTGATTTTCAAATTCCCTGTGGAGTGGCAACCTTGCACGATAACATAGATGTGATTACGAGATACTCCCCATATGGCCCACAATATTGTATATAAAACAAGTCTTTCAGACTCTAATAGAATCACATGAATGAGATCTCAATGCAATACTCTTAAATTATGTCTTGTATTAGTATGTATATGTACTCTTCTGTATGAATAAACACAAAGTTTGGGAAAGGGCTTCTTTCTCCATCTGCCATTCGAAGGGGTTAAAAATAACTTTTAGAGGTTTGTTTGATAAGGATATTATCTATAAGGAAAAGAGAACTTGAAGGTAATTAAATATACAGTGGTAACTGTATGCATGGGTTGGGTACCCCTCAGCTCGAATATATCTGGTAACAGAACATAAATTACCTATTTTCTGTAGTACACTTTGTAGTGCAGGAAGAATAGGAGGATATCTTTTCTGCAAAAAGTACACAATCATTAGAAATATAGCATAACTTTTGAACTTGAGTGGTCCTCCAATCAGATAAAAATGTTTCCCCCAATAAGTGATAAGTTGAAACAACGGTGCAACTCGATGGTCCAGTTTACTACAAGCTTGCATTAATCTTGTTCCTTGAAGAGCAGACCTAAACACAAACCAAACTCAAGTCAGTTAGCGGAAATAAAAAGACAAACTACAGAAACATAAAAACACTAATGGGAATTTGTATAGTTCGATTTCTGTAATTTGAAAATATCATTTAAGAATTGGAAGCATAATCACAGAAACTGTGGACCAAGTAAAGATTATTTAGACACACAGATTATTTTTGCCCATCATCCAAAGCAATGCTCACAGGAGAGATAGGGACAATTGTTACAAGGCCAGATTGAAATTCCTAATAAAAAGTGTTATACTATTTAGTTAAATTCCTTCGAAGAAACAAACAGCAGATAATTCTGTTTTTTTTTTTAAACAATTATGTATGTAAATGTTCCACAATTTTAGAGAAAAACACTAGATATTTAGTAGACGTAAGTAGTTTATGGAAATCAAACAATTAGACTAAGAAAATAATAGCAAGTTAATATATTAGTATATTTGTGAAAATGGATGTTTTGAGAATCAAAAATGTAAACTAGCATTTAAAAGACAGATTTCCTCAAAAAGCTTACAAAATTATATTTTTTGTGCATTAAGGAAGGGGATAGTAATGAAGTTTTTCTTAGAAACTGCAAAGCCACTGTTCGGTTTTGTCAATAGAAAAGTCTTTTTTTCTCATTAATCTTTTTTCATAGTTAAAGAGAACAGTGTTGGCTCAGGGGATAGAGAATGAGGTAACCCAGGATTAAATCCCGGCGATAGCTGGTTGATAAAAATTCCAAACAGCTCACACTGACCACAGTGGTGATGTAAATTATCCTTAGTGGTAGATGGACCATTTGTAAGTGTCTCCTTGTCATCAGGCTAACCGTGGGAGATTTTCCTCTCCATTTAATGTAAATGCAGGCTTGTTCTACAAGAAAGCCCTTCATGAAGGCAAATTTCTTCCAATACTTGATCCAGGAGTTCCCCTGTCTTCTGAATGGGGTACAAAATTACAAGGTTACAGAGTTAAACATTAGTGGTCGTAAACTTCAAAATTGGGTCGGCTGTTCAATGACGGTTATAAAAAAAAATAAAATTCAAAGAGTACTGCTGTGGCCCAGGGGATAGAGAGTTTGCCCCTAAATGAGGTGGTGACCTAGGAGAGGAAAACCATGTCAATGAGTGACCCAGGTTGGAATCCCAACAGTGGCTGGTTGATAAAAAAAAATTTCCGTGCACACACTGACTACAATACTTATATAAAATATGCTCTGGAAGATGGATCATGGGTTAGAATCATCTTGCTGTCAGGCTAACCGTTAAATCCTCTCCATGTAACGCAAATGTTGGTAAGTTAAAACAAAAAAGTCCTTCACAAACATTAACTTATCTCAATGCTTGATCAAAGAGTTCTTTTGCCTTACTGGGTTAGGTTTAAAATTATGAGGCCACGAGCGTGAGCTTTGATAATCGTAAACTCAGAATTCAGTTGGCATGTTCAAAGCCAGTTATAAAACAAAATAAATATAAATTAAAGAAGTGAAAAAAAATTACAGGATTTACAGCAGGAAAGACAACAGGATTTTAAAAATTTTACTAATAAAAAATTAAATTTTTATGCTTCATCCTTATACATAAATAAATAAACAACTTTATTTAACATACAAAAAGCAACTTTGTAACATCTGATTAACAGCATTGACTTGGTACATAAGGACCTTCTGAATATGTTTTGGATGTATTTACGATGAGCAAACAAATGGATCTAATCTGATTCAGATAAGAAAGTATCATTGCACATAAAAAAAGATTTTCAAGTAGTGACAATTGCTAATTTTAACAGTCAAAATTAAATGAGAAAAGTAGAGAGTTTATAATCATTACACTAAAAACTTTGATAGTTTAAGCAAAGTTAGAGAAATTTTATTGAAGTGCAATGTACTTTAATTTTTGGGGACCTTTGGTGCTTTAATTTTTGGTTACCTTTTGGTGCTGCTATTTTGTATAAGAAAATATTTTCTCCAAAACAAACAATTATATTTAGTTGTGTAAAATGTTAATAAAATATACTTTTATTTTAATTTTATGTAAGAATGATTTTTTAATATGTTAGTCGTTTTTGTTACGAAATGAACTCATCAACAAGACTTAAATCATTATAACAAATCAAATAGAAAACAATTTTTACCTGTCTTGAATTACGAGTATGTTTTTTCATATTTTTAAAAATTTGAATAAAAATGCTACGATTTATATCTGGTAACATCTAATCTTCCTCGCGTTTGTTAAATTTTGATATCAATTCAAGCGAAAGCTGATAAAATAAGGATCTCAAAAGAAATAAATTTCCCAACACCAACAACTAATTTCTCCATAAAATAATCATTATAAGGAAAAGAGGGGTGGGAAAAGCATTAAAAATAACTATAACTTTAGAAAGTTGAAAAAAAAAACTTGTGTAAAGTTCATAAACAAAAATGGCATTTCAACAAGTCGCATATCAATTCTGTAATAGCGTTTCCGTGTACTGCAGAGTGGTCCACATATTTTTTTCACAAGTTTAACAGTTAATAACTCTTGAACTAAATATTGAATGTTAATTTTCTTAAAAATTCCATTGTGATCTTTGCACATTTTTCTATTCACATTTGCAATTTTAAAGTCTTATTGTTTTGCACAACAACACAAAATGTAACATAACACTCAAAACAGGAGCAGCACTCACAATTTTTTTAGTATAGAGAGATACTCTTGGGATTAAAATGCAGATAGAAAATCATTTTTTCAGTTTCCAGGACAAATTTTATGCTTTTAGTCTGTTATGGCCCTGCTACCAACCAAAACTGTAACAAAATTTATGACAGCTTTAAAGCAAAATTTACCTGTTATTGATTGAAAGATCGCACCCAAGATCATTACAACTAAAATTTAATATTGGAAAGCGACCAGGTACTACAGTTGTGACTTCAGTTATACCAGATTCTTTCAACACCTTCTGGATAAAAATTAATTGCTGTTTAAGAGGAAGGTATGGAAAATCTGAAGCAGGAACTTTTCCAGAGGAGACATCAACATTAGTTACAACAATGTTTTGCGCTGGAGAATTCTAAAAAGAGTATAAATCATCTTTTGAAACAAGATTTAATAATAATTGAAATTAAAAAAAAATTAAATGAAAAGCTTTAATAAATAAATAGCAAAGTTCTTAAATCTAAACGTAGTTTAAAAAGTTAAAAATACAGCTTATATTTTCAAATATAAACCCATCCACATATAATCGAGAGTACTGTTTTATTTTTCTTTCCTTTTTTGAAAATTCATTCAAAACTTAAGCATAAGCTGATGAAAAAAAAAAAAAAAAAAAAAAAAAAAAAAAAAAAAAAAAGACGCATTATCTTTGTGGGTAACTTTCAATTTATTTGTTCACCTTCGTTCAGAAATAAAAATTAATTGAAAGTCCAACTGATTCTTTTCTTCTTCCTTTTGTCCCCCCCCCCAATTCTTCTCAAACCTTTTAACTTAACAATCCATAGTGATGTCAGCAATTCAACTAGGTAAAAAGCAAATCAGACAATAATAGTGATGAGAGATATCCGATTTCTGAAGCTAGTATATTTAATTTTTTCTGTTTGTTAGCTGTTTTATGAGGACAAATAAACAATAAAGGAAAATCTAAATAAATAAAACTATATTTTTTCTATTGTAATTTTCATTTGTTTTCCTTCCAATAGTTAGTTGTAAGTGCTTTATTTTCAATATTTTATGTATTTACAAATTTTGAAGGCACCATTTTGTGAGATTTAGCAATCTATCACTAATACTTGATGGATGGAAAAAGTATTTTTGTGAGTAATGTGCATTCAGAATTTTGAGAAGTTAATGGATCTGATTACAAATTGATCATTTCCACCCCCGATTTAGCTTTCAAAACATTTTTGGATTGTATTTGAACAGATCTGATACAAGTGTAACAATTTGATTACACAACAATTTGTTGAAAACCCAATCAGGATAGTTTAAAAGCTGCTTGTAACTCTTTTGAATAATGAAACCGAAACATCCCTTAAGCAACATTTCTTTCTTATAGAGCAATTTAATGCAGTTGAAAAATTAATTTTCATGCTTTGCAATTATACAAGTCAACATACATATATCCTGAACAATCAGCTGTCTTAGAATAAATTTTAAACAGGAAAAAAATTGTCATGAAGTCATTACACAATTTGCAATATCAATATGAAAAGCATATAATGCCTGCCATAAAAAAAGAAGAAATATTGTATAGAAATAATGGAATACGATTGATGTAACAGTAGTTATAAATACACAGATAAACGATTGTTGTAACAGTAGTTATAAATACACAGATAAAAAGTATGTTTTAAGATCAATTTTACTTAATATAAGTTTGTTAATTAAAGTATCTGATGCATATATATATTCTTAAAAAGCATATTTTTGTTAATTTTGACCTCCATTTGCAGAGAGATCAACTGTAATAGATAGAAAGTTCAAACTTGAACACTTACAGGATTTGAGGCAGAATAATGAAAAGACAAATCTAGATCACAGCCTCGTAAGCCCAGGCCACTAACACTTGAACCAACAGGATGCACTGACGATTCAGGAAATGTTGTCCTCAAGGCATTTTCAATATCCTTGCACATTAAAAGTCGATTTGAAACATCTTGTTCTGATAATTGCACGTATGTAAGAAAAGTATCAATTTGTTCCCTCACCTACATAATAATAAAAATAAAATAAAAATTTTTAATAAAGAAGTTGTTAACAAAACAAAATTTGGTAGGTTTAACAAAAAAACATAAAATATTTTATTTGAAGTTTACTAGAAAATAATAATGATTTTATTATGCAGGAAATAATATTTTGTTGCTTCCTAACTAGAATGTGATGTTTCAAACATGTAAGAATAGTGCACAAACAATGCAGTTATTTTTTCAAATTGTTTATCTGCATAAAAAATAAAGACATCAAATTAATATGTAAAGAGGCATAAATTATTTATAAGTACTTGTGCAATTTAAATACAGTCTCAGTTTACAAGAAAATTTCTATGTTTTGCAAGTTTCAAAAGCATTAAGAAAGTGTATAAGAAATTTATAATATGCTTTTCAAAAAAAAAAATTTAAAAAATGACTACTTTAAAATTTTTTTAGGGTTTTCACTCAATTTCAGAAAGAAAAAAAAATTCCCTGACTTTTCCCCAAAATCCAGATTATATTTAATGCATACTATGCCATTTTTAATCAGAAAACTTTCATTTTTATTTTAAATGCCAAATGTTAGATTTTGGGAGCAAAAAATAATCATTGAATGAGGATGGAGACATGTCAGTTGGACTAAAATGTGAAAATTTTAAAACAAGTAATTGTAATCGATTTTAGAATTACTCCCGAATCCGAATGACTGATTACTGTTACTGACAATTCTAAGACTGGTTATTTTCATATTCATCATATTCGTTTCTTTTAAAGTATGTCCAATTTACAATGAAGTAGAACACTATACATAAAAAGCACAAATAATGTAACTAATAAAAAACATACTGATTTACAATTTTGCAACAAATTTTTAAGAGTAGAGTGTGATAAAACAGAGTTAGAATGCCCAGCCGCTTTTCGAACTATTTTGAAGAAATTTTGTCTTCTAGCATCTGAATGAAGGTGATGCACTGTATTTTTCCCCTAAAAAAAGGAAAATATAAATAATAAATATAATACTTTTGCACAATATTTATACAGGCATTTACCTTTATAGCTCAGATTTTCTGGAAAATAAAGGTTTTATAGGGGAAAAAAAAATACTACATGAAAATCATAATACATTCGCAAATCATGTTAAAACTGAAAGTTTAACAATGATTATTTAACCTTTTTAACAATCACATTACTTGCAAACATATTGTTTAAAGACATTTCTGCATAGTGTTTCTGTTAAATAAAATCAGTTATAAGAGGTTTTATGTAACAGAGTTATGCAGGCATGACCCAAGTCATAAATGCATGAAAAAGGGAGATTTAACGCATGTGAAATTTCTCCAATTCAAAGTTGTGGGTTTTTCAGAAAATTTTCTGGTAAATTTTACAAAAATTATCTAAGCCACAAAATTAACAAAGTATTGCAAAAATAAGCTCTTGTTCACATAAGGATATAAGTATGCAAAATTGGAGTATTTCATCATCTTTATGCCATTTTGAGTTTTCCCCTTATTGAAAAAATAAATATAATAGTTTAAAGTTAATAATTTAAAAATAAAAATGAAACAAATTTAAGTAAAACAGAATCAAAGTTAATTTTATTCATGTGGAATACAAAGTTAGAACAATAACCTGCAGTTTTTGTTTAAATGATATAGAAATTGACTAATAAAAGAAAATATAGAATGTTCAAATATGTCCTATAACAAGTCTATTAAAAATTGCCTTTTTCACATTTCCAATTTTCCAGAAAATCTAATGGAAAATTTTCTATTTAGCAAAAACTTTTCTCTCCACATCACTGTCTATAACAATTGAATTTCTAGTTTCAGAAAATATTTTTCCTAGTGGTAGCAAAGGTAGTGAATTAGTTGTTTAATAAATTAGAATTAAAAGATTTTTGTCAACCATTACATATAAAAAAACCTTATTCAATATATAAATAGACAAACTTATGGTCATGTTCTGAAGTTCTGATATAAGTTTTATAAAATTCCATCACTTCGAAAATTTCTACTTCAGGTAATTTCCACAGGAAAAATATTTCATATTTCTCAAATATTGGGGGGAGGTGGGGTATGAGATTGTAAAGGAATTATTTACAATCATAACTTGTGCTAATTACAGTTTGTTAAGTTACAATTACATTTCCTCTATATATGCTACTATTATTTTTCCCTTATCTTACTATTATATTTCTCCTATATATTTTACTATTAAATTTCTCTTATATATGTTACTATTACAGTGTTTTCATTACAGAAAAAAAATGGGAGAGAATTTCGCATTTCTCACCCTTTCTCAAAAACAGGGGGAGATTTCAAAAAGTTAAGTAAGATTTCTAAAAATTAAAAAAACACGAAAAGACTTGGGAAAAAATTATTTCTTTAATTATAATACATTTTTAACATCTTCTAATTGAATATTTTTACTGCATCATCATATGGAAAATGTTCTATATCTACTTTTTCATCAGCTATTATATTTATTTGGCTGAAAAATATCCGTATTTGTTTCGTTTTAACCGTTTCTACCGAAATTTGTTTCATTTTCATTTGTCCGTTACGAAGTAGAAGATGACGCCTTAACAAGGTATTTGTCCATTTTACATTTATGCACAAAAAATGTAAACCTATTACATGAAGAAACCTTACCTACAGTGAACACGTGGTTGCAGAGAAATGTGCTCTGAAAGGGTTCCGTGGTTCGGGGGGGGGGATGTTCTGCTGTTCGCACCAGTTCTGAACAATACTGGTAAATAGGGAAGCTAGATAACAAGGACCGATGATCAAAATAATGAAATATCAAGGAAGAAAAGTGAAACGAATTTTATTCAAAACGGCAAAAGACGAAATTTTTTCCAAAATTCGCACATTTTGAAATTGATTAATAGAGTGTGCAAACGTCTCGCGTTAATTATTTTTTATTGCGAGAAAAGGAAAAAATATGCGAGGTTCTCGCGCTGTAGTGAAAACACTGTATTATATTTCCTCCATGTATGTTACTATTATATTTATATGTTGCTATAATATTTCTCTTATGTTACTATTATATTCCCACCATATATAGCTATTATATTTTTACATTCAGACAAAATGTTCTTTTAAAACATTTTGAACTTTAAAATGCACTAATTTTTAATTTTCATACATTTTTTTCCTTTTTGAGTGTGAAGGCTGGCCCTGCTTGTCTACAATAATTTTGCTCAAAAACAAGCATTGTTACAACATTTAATTTATTCAATAGCAATTCAAGTATTTTTTTTTTAAATAGATAATAATAAATTGATTTTACAAACTAATCCTAAATTAACATAAAAAAAAATTATTATTAATAAATATAATGAATTGTTGTAATGTTTATTCAATTTCTGTAATTTAAAAATTAGTGAAAATTAATATTGATCATTATTGATTTATTCAAAATACCCATTCATAAACTGGAGTGAAATACAAAATATATAATAACTAAACATGATTGATTTTAAATAAATTTATTAAATCATTATGATGTTTAGCAAATTTGAATATTTCTTAAAAATATACTGATAATATCTTTTATAAATTGACTCAAAATCGGAAAAACTAACTCATGTACAAGCATAATTGAAAATACACAGTAATGATTGGGAAAAAAAAAAAGACATCAATGACAAGTTAACTAAAGTTAATGTTTACCAAAATATCAAGTCTTGTTGATATGAATAGGCTTAACAATGGTACTTTTTTCATTAGCATTTTATCCTTCAGTCATTCCCTTTTGAAAGAATTCTGCAACAAAAAAAATATAAAAAAATTAAAATTCTAAAAATAAAAAGAATGACTTAAATTATGTTTACAAAAAATATTGTAAGTCATATTAATTTTTGATTGTTTATTATAGTAAACAATTAAAGGATAAATGTTAAAACATGTTTGAATAGCTTTCTAAATTTACAAGACTTTTCCTGTGGTGCATTGTAATTGCAATGAAAAATTATTTAAATAAAGTTAGAGAATTCTAATTTTTTCCCCCCTTTGCAAGCAACTTCTTTTATTATACAGTAGATTATCTGTTAATTACGATAATTGGGAAATGCCTCGTTATGGACACTCAAAAACTTGATTATTTTGGGGCAGGTACAGATATGGAAATCTTCCTAGCAATAGAACAAAGAAATGCTAAAACTAACTCTTAGGGATGATTACTGTTTCCTGATTGGTGGCAAAATGAACACCAAGTTTTCGCAACTTCCCGGCAATGGCTCACGAGAAATTTAGGAGAAAAAAAATCACAGAAGGGGACCAACTTAATGGGTATAACTTGAAACTACTCCCAGCAAACCTCTTTATGTTTTGATAAAAAATTTGCAAGTTTAAAATCCATTTGGTAAATGCAGTTAGTGCGAGAGATCACAATGTGGAAATAGCCTCTTTATATTAGGAATCATAAGTCATGATTTAATTTTTAATAGTAAAATATTGGTAGAAAAATTCCTTAGTATGTCTTACTTTATTTGAAAGTAAAATCAAAATATTGTGTACCATTTTTCAAAATATTGTGTGTAATATTTCGAGCAAAATAACTTAAGAAATATCTCTAAGTATCCCAAATATTATATTTGTTTATAGAAATAAACATATTAAATATATAGCATTTTTCCACACTTAGGTGAATCATTTTTTCATTGGAACAATATCTATATAAGTAATATTCTTTTTTTCATTTTTAAGTTCTCCATTTTAAATCTTTTGCTTATTCTCGTAACTATAAACATTTTCAACATGCATTCAAAAAATAGTTTTGCGATAAAATACAATTATAGCATCAGTGAAAGAACATTGTACACAAACCAGAATTGTTAGTAAAAGAATAGAAAGAAAGATAAAAAATATTTTACATAAATTTTTAAACCTGTCAATGTTTAATTGTGCAGCAATTAAGGCAATAATCATCAGCTAGTAAATTACATAATAGTCAGGACAATAAAAGATTCCTGCACTTCCTACACAACATAACAATTATAAATATAGGGAAACGCTTAAATGCATATTATTTTATTAAAGTTATAAATATAAAATTTCAATTCACACCGCCATGATTTGTTTACAAGCAATAGTTGCCATCTGTTGAGCACTCATTAAAAAATTTATAGATAAAAATTTTTATCAACGAATTTTAAAAATCTTTTAACTTTTTAAATATTAAAGACAGTTGTACTAGCATAGAAAATATTAAAGAAGCTAAACATATCGTGTTTTATTTATTCATAATATATATGTATTTGTTTTTCTAGTTTTTATGGTTTAAATAAACTAGAAATTCCTTCCATCTTGTGGGCCTGTGGCGCAACGGATAACGCGCCTGACTACGGATCAGGAGATTCCAGGTTCGAATCCTGGCAGGCTCGTGTAAATCTTTTTTTCATTTTTACGCTTTCTATATTACTGCAAGATTCATATTTTTTCTTTTTTCATAACATTTAAAAAGAAATGTGGGGAAAAATTAATCAAACATAAACTTATTTTCTTATAACATGAACTAAATATTAATAAAATCAGTTGGTTTTAAGAAGTATTGTCATAAGGATATAATTAGAGAGCCTAGAGTAAAAGAGAGTGGACAAGGGAGAAACGATTCCTGATTGGTGGACAGAAAAACTTTACCGCCGGAGGNTCTTGGATATTGTCATCACTCTTTTCAATACAGGCACTCTAGATATAATGAAATAACCATAGATGTGTACCGACTTCTTCAAAGAGTAGGTCAGTATGTAAATTATTTTCGATAATATTAAAATGTGAAACACGCATTTTAAAGTACTTTTACTTAAATACGAACATCATTTTCTTTCATTTAGAAATTGTGCACTTTAGTAAAGCAGACACGTTTAACTTTATTGCAGTCACTTTTTTGGAATAATTTTAAATGATATTGACTTATTGTATATTTACTGATTTCAAAAATATTATTTAAAAATTTACTTAATTTTTTCACACAGAAATCTTTATTTTTCCTCACTAAAAATTTTCTTTATTTTTTCCACCAAAGAATGATATGTTTTAAACAAAGAAAAACTCTGATTAAACAAACAGAAATAAATAATAGTTTTTATTTCAACTTTATGGGATTTGTTAAGAGTTAATGAGTGTTTTCAAATTTAAAAATTAATTTAGTACTGTTAAATGCTTAGAACTTTACTTAAAAACGTTGAATAACCGTTGTGATTATTGTGCAGTCAACTTCTATCGCTAAATAAATAATGAAAAAAAAAGTTGAAATATTTTAAGCTATTTCTATTGTATTATTAAAAGATATCTTCACTCGCTTTTTATCGATTCAGAATAATCAAAAGATATATTCATTCGTTTTTTATCAGTTCTGAATATTCACAATAAGAACAGTCTAATTGTTTCTTTAAAAAAAAAATTTAGATTCCTGCAATATAAATGAAGAATTTATTTACCATATTCTAACTAATCCTGCAGAGTTTGATGCTTAATAAAATAAAATTGTTTTGGAAGATTTTTTACATTAATACTTTCTAATTATCAGATCTTTAGTTGATGATAGAGAAATTTTTTTAAATGAATCGAATTTATAAATTTAAGGAGAGTCAAAATTATCTGAAAAGAAAAAAACGGAACAACATTTTACATACTAGAAAAGTTTCAAACCACCTGCTAAATTTGAATTCTCTCCTTGTATTTCTTCAGAACAACAGATTGGTTTTTAAATATTTCCTACATTTTATTTTGACCAAAAAAACTGCCATAAGTTCGAGCAAAAGTTTTTGTCAATGTCAACACCTGTTTCAGCCTTGAAAATGCAAATTTAATACGTGTTAAATCCTTTACCACTTGAGCGAATTTGGAATTTGAATCTAGAGATTTCACAATATAAATAAATCATTAAATCAAATAAATAAAATAAAATTAAAATAAATATAGAAAGAAAAGATATTCAAATGACGGGAGTACAGATTAGTCAATTAAATTTTATTCCATATTTTTTAGAGAATATATGGATTTTAAATAATGGAAATTGTGAGAGAAATTTTTTTTCAAAACACATTAGGGTGTTCCATGGCCCACCTTCGTCTCCTTGTGCATTTGACTATGTACTTCATCTTATTTAAAACCCATATTTTTTATTCCAATGTTGCTTATTTTCTTTTTTTAAACCCTTTATTTCCTTTTAATGTCAGAAAAAAAACAGGATACATTAAAATAATGAGAGAGAGAGGGAGAGAGAGGAAGGGAGAGAGACCGAGAGATTACATTATACATGCTTTACATTATAAATATCAAAAAAAAAAAAGAAAAAGAAAATTTAATCATCTAAAATTTTACACTTTTCAAAAAACTGGTCACTATATGCTACAATTGGTTACCTGCCAGAAAAAGAATCGTAATTTTGCCCTATTCCTGTTTAATAGCAATCTAAAAATGTTTTTTTAATATATATTATTTTCTAATTTTGTGATTTTGATTTCTGCTAATAGTTTTCTTGCTTGGGTTCCCTAGAACAGGGTTCCCAAACAGAAACAGGGTAAAAGGGGTTCCGAGAGTAAGGAATTGGTTTTACCTCACACTAATGATTTTGAAATATGCATTTATAATTAGATTTTTAATATATCGGTTCTCTTCATGAAATTAAAGTAAAATACAAATGAAAAAGAAACAGAATTTTGTTTTTAATTATTATTTTTCTAATAACAATGTCTTGATCTGCATTATATAAAAAAGTCCTGTATTTACGAAAAACTGCATCAGCATTTTCCATCGTGATTTTCAAATTAAAATAAAATAACGAATAACAAATCAAAATAACGAAATTAGTTAATAAGGAAGTATATTTCTCTGGCAGCCATATTCAACGTTATAGTAGTTCTTTTACAGTTTCAAAATTGCTTATGTATTTACATCTAAATAAAATTTAAAATTAAATTAGATACAGATCTAGGAGTGCGAATTCAACTGTCTGTTATAAAATCTCAATCATGACTACTAATGAACAAGACTGAAAAAAATTCCATTCCTCATTTCAATTATTCTCAAAATAAAGTAGTCTTTTACATTCGTTATAACACTATCGCAATTGTTTTTATATACTTAATTTTACAATGTTTTTATATACTTTATAGTTTACAAATAATTTACAAATTCGGGAATGAAGTGTGATTATTTAGGGTTCCACTGCCGAAAAAATTTGGGAACCACAGCCCTATAATTGTCTTCGAATGCCTTTCTGTGCCCTTAAAACCCTTTCGTAAATCAGTCCCTGACGGCGAAAAGCTAACTGCTACTGAACTGTTTAATAGGATCTCCCATTTTTATCACTAAACCACGTGTGTTTTCTGAATTCTTCATTCGGTCAAACAATCAATGTGTATTAGCTTATCAGAAAGGAAGCCATTTCGAAACCCTATTGTGAAGTCCATCTGAATAATTTCCGTGATAATTCTTCTCATAAAATAATGGTTTTATTATTCTTTTTATTCTGATACTTTTCTAACCTGTTACCTGGCAACTTCCACCTGGAAGATAAGCAAATAGTATAATTTTTTTTTTAATACATTTTTTTATTATTATTATCTGAACTTTCGTGTACTTATCTTATCGATTCGAAACCAGCTTATTAAGTTAAACAAAAAAGCATCCGTTTTTGTCTGAATTTTGAATTGGATAGGAGCTTTTTATGTCTGTTTTGGCATTTTAAATTATAAATGGACGAGGCCGAAATTACCCCGCTGAAAAATTTCGATAACAAATTACAAAAGTTTTACTATGACGTCATAAGTAAGGAAGTGGATTTGAAAATAATGTGGAAGGCACATTCTATTCGTCGGGCTTTGACAGAAGTCGTAAAAGCTTATAAAAAACGCCCTAGACGTAAATCTGATATTCGCTTTGATACGCCTTACCGACGTTGTGCATATTTACTAAAGCACAGTCCGTGTTTTACCAGTGCTGTCGCCAAATACTTCCACACTTTAGTGAGCGGACGCCAAGATCTTATTAAAAATGCTTTTGAAAATGGTACATTGGCGATATGTTGTTTAGGAGGTGGACCGGCGACTGATGCAGTAGCTTTAGTTCATATAATTCGATATCTGTATGAACCCTATTGGCGGAAATATCGCAAAACTTTGAAAATAAGTATCACTGTAGTGGACATAAGTGAAGAATGGCAAGAAACTGCAAGAAATGTATTGGAATGTCTGCAAACGACTCCTGAGTTCTTTGGAGATGGTGAACTTACATTGACTTATGATTTTCTAACTGCCGATTTAACGAAAGAAATGAGCAAGGACTTGAAGGCGGCTATAAAATCTGCTGATATTGTAACTATGATTTATTTTTTATCAGCAGTTACTGGCACAAGGGGGAGAGAAACGAGTGAAAATATGGTTGAGGTAAGATCAAACTCTCTTTATTAAATCATTCAATATTTTTCTTAGTCTATTATTTTTTTGAAAGCATCAAAATTCTGTCTAATTATATCATACACTGTTAAAAGTACGAGCTATATTGCACCGAAAATTGGTATACATTTATTGACTACATGAAATGTAGCTCAATTTTATTTTATTTTAGTGTTTTCACTAGCTCCAAATTTCAAAAGGAGGTTGCACCAAAAAATAAGTGTTTTGAAGGCATCTTAAAGCAGAGGAAGGTTTTACTATAATTAGATATTTTTAATGCCTCCAATAACAATGCAAGGTCACACCATGAATTAATTATTACAAAAATATTAGAAAAAAAATGTATCGTGAAATAGCTATTTCATGACATATCACCTACTAAACTTAAAAAGGCAACATAAAACAGATGAACTTTAATGAATGCAAATAAGATAAAATATTTACCTATCTAAACAAGTTGATACTTGAAACAATGTACATTAACCGTCCCTATTCACATAGCTGTAAAGACAACATAGCGCAATAAACAAATATCGTTCAGTTAACGGTCACCGTCAAAGTTATATGTCTTTTACAATACTTTGCAGTCAGTAACACCATGGATTTATTTCTCGATCATACTTACCAATTTTCGGCATAACCAAAATGAAATAATCTTTCATTTACAAAAACTTGGGGTTCGATGAGAAACTTCGCAGC